TGGAGCATAAGAGAAAATCGACGGTGACGACCCACTTTGATTCATTCAAACATTCGAAAATGCTTTCTGCTGCTGCGGACAAGAAAGCCAAACAACTCACGTTCACGAGGCATCAACCTCCAAAACCAAGGTACTTCACCTCACTGCACACAAGAAGAATGTTGCTACTGAGAATAAAATGAGGAAATACAGCCTTTTTTATCCTCTTTACTTCGCACAATCATGATGCTACTCTTCTTGGCGTTATACCTTAATATTAAAATCAATGCCATACTGGGAACAAGTCCTCAGAAGCTGTTGGAAGCCAGAACTGCATGTGGAGAAGATGATTAAATCATCAGCATAAAACACAGATGAAAACAATGCTGGTTTTAGTTTGTTAGACCTCAAAGATGCACACAATGGGTTTTTGATGAGACCAAACTAAAGTACTGTGTTTCTCAGGAAGAAATCCCTCCGGATTATAAAAGACCCCCATCATCCCAGCCACAAACTGTTCTGCCTGCTGCCGTCTGGCAGGCGCTACCGCAGCATCCGGACTAAAACCACCAGACTCAGAGACAGTTTCATACCACAGGCAATAAGACTGTTAAACACCTGAACTGTTGAACCAACATCCATAACATTCGTCTGCTACTTAGTAATTATTTATCTTTTTCTCTAATATATCATTCCAATAACTTGCATATAGACTCTTTTTGCACTCTTTCACTTTTTTAAACTATTTTTCTTTTTGTATTTACTATTTACTTGAACTATATTTTTCTGTTTATCTGTATTATTGTGTTGCACTGTTGGAGAAGCCTGTGACCTAAGAATGTCATCGACATAACTACACTGTAGCTATGTTCGTATGACTAAATAAAGAACCTTGAACCTTGAAATCATGAGTCTCAGTCAAGGACTCGGCACACATGCTGCTGTATTTCTGTCTTACCCCTCAGAATGGCAGAGTCTGGCTCCTGGCCGCTGTCAAAGAGCGGACAGTAATCTCCATAGAAGTCTGCGTGGAGCCCCCCCTCATCGCCCCTCACTGAACCAATGGACGAGGAGGATTTGAGAGATGACTGGCTCTGGCTCATGGTGGAGCTCGACATCAGATTACTCAGCTCCACCTCCGGATTCTCACTCTCCACTGAAGGTCCAGAACCCTCCTGTGGCAATCCCAGGCCAGCTGAGCCCACTGAGGATTTCCCCACTGAGCTTCCCCCCGGGGACCCCTTCATGTCTGCCAATGGACAGAGAGGAAGAAAAGTAACCAGTAACCCTGGAGCCAAAGAATAAAATCAAAAAGGTCTCAGGTCGGAGCTTTAAATCAGAGCAGAAATCTATTAGTGATGGGAAATTCATGGATAACCTTTGAAAGCAAAAAATATGGGAAGGTGTTGAGCTATCTGGAAACCTGGGGGAAGAATGTGCTCTCACCAGCGTCACTGTTCTCCAGAGATTGGTCCTCTTCAGACACTTTTAGGAACACCTCCTCCAGGGTGGTGTCCATCACCCCGAAGCTGGTGAGGGCGAGGCTGTCCAGACTCTGCTCTAAAGCCTGGAGGCACACATAGCACAAGAGACACTCAGATAACTGTACAATGAGCTCTCTCCTTTGCCAAGACCCACAATAACACCACAACATGGCCTGTCATTTATATCCGGATCAATGGTCACATTTATACAGTGGAGGAAATAAGTATTTGATCCCTTGCAGATTTTGTAAGTTTGTCCTCTTACAAAGAAATTAACCTGTTAAATTCTAAGCCTGTTTTTCAGGTCTCAGGCTCGAAAATGACATTCCCAGAACAAATGACTATATCTTCCCTTTTAAAAGGGGTAAATGCATAATCTTTTTTCTCAAAGCAATGATAAACCTGTGAGTTGGATGTAAAAAAGTCAGAATCAATATAGATTTTTTTTATTTGAATATAAATTCAGATTGAACATAGTAAAAAAATGTTTAATTATAGTGTCCGTCCAACATTTGTTTTTTATTATAGTGAAAACCACCCTTGAAGGATGAGATCGGAGACTAAAAGCTTTAGGAATCCAAACTATAACATATAATAAGTACCCTGTATCAAGATTGATGCAAAACAAGTACAATTTGACCTTTTTTGAGAGATCTATAAAAATAAACCCACTTCTGGGGTCATTTGGGTGCATTTTCCATGTCTCTGGCCTCCCTCGTTCGATTTTGATGATTGAGATCTCTTTTTAACTGTTAGAGCCAAAAAACATTACCCATTGGTGAATGAGTGCTGCGCACAGTGTTACCAACTTGGTGACTTTCTCGCTAAATCGGGCAACTTTCCAAACCCTCCGGCTACTTTTTTTTGTCAAAAGAAACTAGCGACAAATCCAGCTACTTTTTCTGGTGTTATTGGAGACTTTTCTGGTGTTTGGAGAATATGACGTGATAGCACGTAATTGTTACACAGTTACTTTCCCTGAGCCCCTCCGCCTTCACAAAGCACTCACAGGTAGCCTCGCTAGGCAGCTGCACTCGAGCAGAGAGGTGGCAAAGTGACACAAAAGAGACACACTACGCGTCCAGACTGAATATTAATCGCATGCGCAAAGCCATTGATAGTCCCGCCCTGGCTTGCAGTGTGTCTCTTTTGGGTCACTTTGCCAGTCCCAAGCCCAGATAAAGAAGGAAGGTAGCAATTCCATCCCACATAACAATTATTTTGATTAAATGTGACTAATTCTTTAACAATACTGGACAAAATGTATGTATGTAATGTTGGAGTAGACAAAGCATTAAAGTCATCAAGTCTTTTTTTAATGTTTGGCCATCGCCAAACATTAAAAAAAATAAAAATAAGAATCAACAGAAGGAAGTTCATTTGTAGTTCTAAACAGATTAAGGGTGTTTTTTTTCCACTTTTTGTCTCTCCTTCGGCGTCCGTTACAACTACGTGCAAATTGCTAAATATGCAAATTAGGCGATGATGTCATTTAGCGACTTCTAGCTACTTCTAGGACAGCCAATAGCTACTTTCCTTACTATGGAGTTGGCAACACTGGCTGCGATACACTCTGGTGGATAACATTAGCAGCTAATATTAAATCTCCAATTTTTACATAAATATGGAATTATGGATAGTAATAATATTAATATTAGTAATAAGCTTTATATTTGTATAGCACCTATTACAAGAATTGTAGCCAAACTCGCTTCACAGCAGTTCAATAGACACATTAGTATAACCTGACAGGATAAAAGCAATGTAGAGGAGCCGCTACATTTCAACACTTATATTCACGAAGATTAATACATGAAGACTTGTGACTCGGACTTGACTTGGACTCTTCTTGGGTGACTCGGACTTGGACTCGAACACAGGTAATGATGACTCAGACTCGACTCGGACACTCTTTGGGTGACTCGCAGAGGTGTGGACTCGAGTCACATGACTTGGACTCGAGTCAGACTCGAGTCACAAATTTGATGACTTGAGACTCGACTTGACAAAATCACAAAACACTTGCGACTCGACTTGGACTTGAACACCAATGACTCGGGACTTGACTTGGACTTGAGCCTTCTGACTTGAGGTGACTTGATACTTTAATTCAGAGGTCTCCCACATGCCGATCACGAGATGCCGCTAAAAGAGCAGACTCTCGTCGGGGAGAGCAGAATCTTCAGCCGCTCCTACTCTTGCTGAGAATCCTTGCAGGCAGGGGCGGGACTTTATTTAGCTGGGCCACCATGCGGCCAATCATATGCGAGGACACACTAGGATCATACCATTATGTGAAAGAAGGGTGGGAGACATTTAAATGCAAGCGCGTCGGAAAAAGTCAAGAAATGAGCGAAAACCGAAAAAAGAAGCAGCAGATGTCTGCATTTCAATGATATTGGAGAAAGCAAAGCTGAGTGCAGGATTTGTAAAATGAAAATAACCTTCAGAGCAGGGTTTTTTTTTGGTAACCACTCAGGATTTATTGTCAGAGGTGGGAGAAGTTCAGATCCTGTACTTGAGTAAAAGTATCAGAGTGTAGGAATACTCGGTTACAATAAAAAGTCCTGCATTCAAAATGTTACAAGCAAAAGTACAAAAGTACTAGCATCAAAATATACTTAACGTACCACCTGAAGTGGGATCTAGATTTGGATGTTCTTTTCCCCATAAAGACCACCTTGCTGCACATTATCCCTTGCATAAAGATATATTGTGGGTCCCTTATAACATGTTGTACACAGTGGAAATAAACATTCTGGTTACGTCAACATCAGGGATCTTATACATTGAACTCCTTCTGAATCAAACCNCCAGCGGCTCAGGAAGAAATCCCTCAGGATTATAAAAGACCCCCATCACCGCTGCGGTAGCGCCTGCCAGACGGCAGCAGACTGAACAGTTTGTGGCTGGGGTGATGGGGGTCTTTTATAATCCTGAGGGATTTCTTCCTGAGCCGCTGGGAGTAAAGGTCCTCCATGGATGGCAGCTCCGTCCTGGTGATGTTCTACGCAGTTTTCACCACCCTCTGTAAAGCCTTACAATTGAAGGCGGTGCAGCTGCTGTACCAGGCCGTGATGCAGCCAGTCAGGATACTCTCTATGGAGCACCTGTAGAAGGTCAGGATCCTCTCTATGGTGCACCTGTAGAAGGTCAGGATCCCCTCTATGGTGCACCTGTAGAAGGTCAGGATACTCTCTATGGTGCACCTGTAGAAGGTCAGGATCCTCTCTATGGTGCACCTGTAGAAGGTCAGGATCCCCTCTATGGTGCACCTGTAGAAGGTCAGGATCCTCTCTATGTTGCACCTGAAGAAGGTCAGGATCCTCTCAAAGGTGCACCTGTAGAAGGTCAGGATCCCCTCTATGGTGCACCTGTAGAAGGTCAGGATCCTCTCTATGTTGCACCTGTAGAAGGTCAGGATCCTCTCTATGGTGCACCTGTAGAAGGTCAGGATCCTCTCTATGGTGCACCTGTAGAAGGTCAGGATCCTCTCTATGGTGCACCTGAAGAAGGTCAGGATCCTCTCTATGGTGCACCTGTAGAAGGTCAGGATCCTCTCTATGGTGCACCTGTAGAAGGTCAGGATCCTCTCTATGGTGCACCTGTAGAAGGTCAGGATCCTCTCTATGGTGCACCTGTAGAAGGTCAGGAACCTCTCTATGGTGCACCTGTAGGTCAGGATGCTCTCTATGGTGCACCTGTAGAAGGTCAGGATGCTCTCTATGGTGCACCTGTAGAAGTTGCAGAGTATCCTGGAGTCCATGTTGAACCTCCTCAGCCTGCAGAGGAAGAAGAGCTGCTGTCGAGCTTTTTTGGTGATGGTGGTGGTGTGAAGAGTCCATGTCAGGTCCTCAGTGATGTGGACACAGAGGAACCTGAAGCTGCTGACTCTCTCCACCGTAGTCCCATTGATGGCGATGGGGGCGTGTCCCTCTCCCTGCTGCTTCCTGTAATCCACAATCAGCTCCTTGGTTTTGCTGACGTTGAGATGGAGGTTGTTGTCCTGGCACCAAGATGTCAGGTTTTCGACCTCCTCTCTGTACGCCGTCTCATCGCCGTCGGTGATCTGGCCGATGGCGGTCGTGTCGTCAGCAAACTTCTCGATGGTGTTGGAGCTGTGTGTGGCCACGCAGTCGTGTGTGAACAGGGAGTAGAGGAGAGGGCTGAGCATGCAGCCTTAATAATAATAATAATAAATGATATTTATATAGCGCATTTCAAGGGACCCAAGGTCGCTGTACATGGTGGAAAAACAAAACAAACACACAATCAAAGGACAAACAAAAAGTAAAGGAAACCGGGGGAACAAGAAAGGGCTAGGACCCGAAGGCCAGGTTGAACAGGTGTGTTTTTAATGATGATTTGAAGATGCCCAGGGAGGCAGCATTACGGANCTCAAATCATCGCCAGTACACCTCAGTGGGATTTCCTGACAGCCCCCACATTCAAAGGAATCATATTCGAATAAAAGCCACACAGCGATTGTATGGTAAGGTATTTGTAAAAGAGAAAGAGGACAGACACTCATAAGACAGACACCGCATGCCCTTCTCCACAGAACAGCCTCCTATCACACTTATCGGATTAGTTAAATCACACTTTGACTCCAGAAATTATGCAGTAACGAGAAGACTTCAAATGTACAAACGCTTTGGAGGCATTGATCCTAGAAGAGTACATCTTCTTTTCTAAAAAAAATGTTTTAAAACATTTCACCAGACGAAACCCATTTGTTCTCCTCAAATTGCGCTTTTATCACACATCATCCAGTCAGCTTTAAGACTGATCAAAGTAATTAATCCCAACTTTAACTATTTTCAGAAAAGATTGTATAGGAAAAACTACAATTCTACCAAGACCACCGTATATTCACATTTAGGTGGGAAAACAGCAACTCTGCATCTTACTTGTCAAACGCAAAGATCAACCCACGTGCTGACCCCAAACATCCCAGGGTTGTCACAGATTTTTTCAGCAACAGACTGCTTTGCGCAGCAAACACCAACACAATGTTTATAAACTACTATCTTGGCAGCCTACATCTAAAAACTGTTTGTCATTATGTACTGTAACGTTGTGACTTACCATATGTGGGTGGAAACGTGGTAACACAATTATGCCTACGATTCACTCAACATAAATATCACATTGTGAGAAGAAAAACACACGTACCCATTATTAGCTCACTCCTGCTCCAGGCATCGGCAATCCTTCAAGCAGCGATCCTGGAGTCCAACTCCAGATGGTCTGTGCCAGGAATGTAGATGTGACGAGCTAGGATGCCACGTTCGACCACTCGAGTGTTCCCAGGCCTGACCGTGGTCTACTGGCATAGTGGACCATCCGGACCACGCAGGTCTCAGAATGCAGCGGCTCTTCTGGTCTTACAACCTTCCAAAGTTGTTCTTCACACACGCCGCTCTCGCTTTCACCTCAACTGTCATTCCCGAGATACAAACCGATTGCTGAATCACTTCAAGAGCATGGTACTTGTCTACCATGCTGCGAGGTTTGGCCCTTCTCTGACTCCGGGACAGTCGAATTCACATCGGTACACCCGCACCGCCGTCGCTCTGACTGAAACAGCTCGCCTGTTTCTCACTGCGAGGACGCCATGGTCATGGCCGTCAGCAATTCCGTAGAGTTTGCTACTCGCTCCAACAATCTGAGTACGGACAGAACTCGAGACGTCCCTATGCATATGGAGCAGAAAGCTTGACATCTCGCGCGACTGAAAATAATCTCTTTCGACTCACTTACGAGCGATAGAATACAACAACTACTATACTAAATAAAGAGTGCTGGCTCTGTAAGAACTCGAAACCGTGGTAGCACTTGAAATGTTTTAGCTCTATGAAACCTGATGTACTTATATGATTCTGTTTTCTTCAAGGTTGTATCTTCCTGGTCGAATGTACTTATTGTAAGTCGCTTTGGATAAAAGTGTCAGCTAAATGTAATGTAATGTATCCTTTTTATTGCGAGATGCTGGGTGTACAGGAGGTTGTCCACTGTGCAAGTGTTTGTCATTGACACAGTTTGCTGTCCAATTGTTCCCTCTCCTCCCCAATGTGGACAGCATCCCTTTTGCTTTTCCCTTGCATCTGTTTCATCGGCACCTTCCCCCCCAAGTATATTTCAGATCTGTGGGAAACACTGAGGTTGTCCACTGTGCAAGTGTTTGTCATTGAAACAGTTTGCTGTCCAATTGTTCCCTCTCCTCCCCAATGTGGACAGCATCCCTTTTGCTTTTCCCTTGCATCTGTTTCAGACAGTTTATACTTTTTTCTCTGAGCAGTTGGAGTAGGGGGGCTGAAGTACTTCGATTTTTTTTTTGCGTTTTACTTCGCTTCTTCCATGTCTCCTCTTGTGACAGAGGAAGTGTCTCTGGTCCCTCAGATTGTATTTTGTCTTCAGCGTATGTTTTTGAAGGATGCACCTGTTTTTTCATTATTGCAACGCCCTTGAGTCTTCCAACCACAAACTCTTGCTGAAGCTGGAGAAAGTCTCCTGCTCTTCTGTGCAATTTTGATGAAAGGATCACTTTTTGTTGTTGTGCGCAACCAGTTCTACAACAGCATTACTGTCACAGGTTTTGCCAAGATCTTTAAGCATCAGACCTGTCCAAAGAGGCACAGTACCAGTGTAATGGAGAATTATTTCCACAAGTGCCTCACAATAATGAGGATTTGGCTGGCATGCTCCGTTTGCGTCATCCTCCTTCCCTGCTTCCTCCTGACCACCTCTTTGATAGGAGCAAAGAAAGAGCATGATTTTGTGAGAGATCTGTGCATGTCTTCAAAATCAGCAGGTGTGTGGTCTTCGTCTTCATTTTTTAAATTGATATTTTCTGACTTATGTGTCCGTATGGCCTCCTGCAGTGCTGAAAGATGTTTCTTGCACCAATTAGTTTCAGTCTTTGATGAAAAAACATGTACCATACACCTTGAAATTGACAATACCTGGCCAAATACAGTAGCATTTTGAAGGAGGGCAAACAGTACAAAAAAAACAGTTTTGTCTCCTTTCTGCACTGAACCATGGACAACTTCATACTGATCAACTTCAGCATGTGAGCAGCACAGAGGTGTATTGCTGTCAGCTGCACTGACCGCTGCCCTTGGAATTAAGATAAGGTTTTAAGGTATAATAAGGTATAAGGTTTTATAGAATAAAGGTTTCACAAATCTGAAACTGTGTTATAAAGAATGTTTAAACCCTCTGGGATAATCCAGTCCAGATTTGACGAGTCTAGGTCTAGTGGTTTTAGATCAGGACCTGGTCTAATGTGGTCAGGATGCGAAAAAAGCACTGAAATCTCCCTTGTTTGTATTTTCACAAATAGAATAAAGGTTTCACAAATCTGAAACTGTGTTATAAAGAATCTTTAGCCTCTGTGGGATAATCCAGTCCAGATTTGATGAGTCTGAGTCTAGTGGTCTTAGATCAGGACCTGGTCTAATGTGGTCTAGATAAAAAAAAAGCAGCAAAATCTCCCTTGTTTGTATTTTCACAAATAGAATAAAGGTTTCACAAATCTGAAACTGTGTTATAAAGAACCTTTAGCCTCTCTGGGATAATCCAGTCCAGATTTGATGAGTCTAGGTCTAGTGGTTTCAGATCAGGACCTGGTCTAATGTGGTCTACATGTAAAAAAAGCAGCAAAATCTCCCTTTTTTGTATTTTCACAAATAGAATAAAGGTTTCACAAATCTGAAACTGTGTTATAAAGAATCTTTAGACCCTCTGGGATAATCCAGTCCAGATTTGATGAGTCTAGGTCTAGTGGTTTTAGATCAGGACCTGGTCTAATGTGGTCAGGATGCGAAAAAAGCACTGAAATCTCCCTTGTTTGTATTTTCACAAATAGAATAAAGGTTTCACAAATCTGAAACTGTGTTATAAAGAATCTTTAGCCTCTCTGGGATAATCCAGTCCAGATTTGATGAGTCTAGGTCTAGTGGTTTCAGATCAGGACCTGGTCTAATGTGGTCTACATGTGAAAAAAGCACTGAAATCTCCCTTTTTTTATTTTCACAAATAGAATAAAGGTTTCACAAATCTGAAACTGTGTTATAAAGAATTTTTAGCCTCTCTGGGATAATCCAGTCCAGATTTGATGAGTCTAGGTCTAGTGGTTTTAGATCAGGACCTGGTCTAATGTGGTCAGGATGCGAAAAAAGCACTGAAATCTCCCTTGTTTGTATTTTCACAAATAGAATAAAGGTTTCACAAATCTGAAATTGTGTTATAAAGAATCTTTAGACTCTCTGGGATAATCCAGTCCAGATTTGATGAGTCTAGGTCTAGTGGTTTCAGATCAGGACCTGGTCTACATGTGAAAAAAGCACTGAAATCTCCCTTTTTTGTATTTTCACAAATAGAATAAAGGTTTCACAAATCTGAAACTGTGTTATAAAGAATTTTTAGCCTCTGTGGGATAATCCAGTCCAGATTTGATGAGTGTAGGTCTAGTGGTTTTAGATCAGGACCTGGTCTAATGTGGTCAGGATGCGAAAAAAGCACTGAAATCTCCCTTGTTTGTATTTTCACAAATAGAATAAAGGTTTCACAAATCTGAAACTGTGTTATAAAGAATCTTTAGACCCTCTGGGATAATCCAGTCCAGATTTGATGAGTGTAGGTCTAGTGGTTTTAGATCAGGACCTGGTCTAATGTGGTCTACATGTGAAAAAAGCACTGAAATCTCCCTTGTTTGTATTTTCACAAATAGAATAAAGGTTTCACAAATCTAAAACTGTGTTATAAAGAATCTTTAGCCTCTGTGGGATAATCCAGTCCAGATTTGATGAGTGTAGGTCTAGTGGTTTTAGATCAGGACCTGGTCTAATGTGGTCAGGATGCGAAAAAAGCACTGAAATCTCCCTTGTTTGTATTTTCACAAATAGAATAAAGGTTTCACAAATCTCGAACTGGGTTATAAATTATCTTTAGACTCTCTGGGATAATCCAGTCCAAATAAATCGGCTATGCAGCAATTTAAGAGGTTCAAACACGGAGGATTGTTCTCTCAGCGCTGTAAATTGAATGTCCCTTAACTTTCCCCTTAACTGCTGAATCGGATGCTCTGAATCGGAAGCCAACTTCAGCGTCGTGAAAAAGCCAACATTCGGAATACCTTCCCTAAAAATATATTTAACTCAATAGTGGGGGGGGGGTTACATTTCTACTTAAATGTGATTGTAATATTGAGAAATTGCCAATACAATTATCTAACTTTCATAAGCAAGCCCTGCTGGCCTAGAAACTAATTTACAAACACCATTTTTCACCAACCAATTATTATATTTGGAACAACAGGAATATTCAATATAAAAGAAAATCTCTATATTATGAAAGATGGGTTGAACATGGTATTTTATTAGTTAGACAACTTGTTAATAATGATGGGAAATTACTAAAATACAATGAATTCCTTTCTAAATGTCACCTACCTTTGATGCTTTGCCAAGGAGTGTGCTGCAGCTTCTCCGATGTTCAGATACTGAGGTTTCAGTTGTTAGTCTTTCTAGCAGTATACTGTATATTCCTTGGTGAAGTGGACATTACCAAGAATAAATGCTCAAACAGATATATTAGAAACTGCATTCAAACTGTAACTCTGCCCAGAGGAAGATTCTTCTGGGCTTCACTTTATGGAGACATCTATTGGAAAATAATTTGGTTAATTGGAAACATAGTGTTGCTCAATAATAAAGTTAAGGAGCGGAGGTTTCTTTTACAGACAACATATCCATCAAAAAAGACACTGCAAAGATTTGGACTTGATATTGAATATTCCTGTACATTTTGCAATCTACAAGAAGAGACTATTGGCCATTTATTTTATGAATGCTTTTATTGTAGAATATTGTGGTATGAGGTGGAATGTTTTATTTGGAAAAAGACGGGACAAAAGGGTCCAAGGACAAAGACATTCTTATGTACTTCAGGGATGATAGTATGGATGCAGATTTTATCTTTTTGGTGCAGTTAATTTTATTTGTAGGGACATTTCATATCCATAAAAAGAAATGGGCTGACTCCAAACCACATTTTGTACAATTCTATGAAGAATTTAAACAAACAAACAAAAAACATTAGGAATAAGAAGGCAATCAAAACTAATTTGATATTTGAAAAATATTGAATCTGAAGTGTCAAAATGTATTTTTCTTTCCTTTTTTCTTTACTGTATGTAAAGCCCCTGGACTTTGTCTGTTGTATGTCAAATGTATCATGTATGACAATTGAATAGATGAATGCAAATTACAAATAAAAAAGTATGTAGTAAGACAACATTTTCAAATCTTTAGTAAGCAACGAAATACAATACTTCTGGCTTTGTGACAGCCGTGACCCCTGCCTCCTGCCCCAGCAGTCAGGGGTGTATTTTTGCTTTTATTTTGACATTCCCTATCCCTGTAACCCTATTACCCAATATATTACAAAAAAAAGTGTACGCATGTTCCCAGGTCATAAATAAATAAAAAATAATAAA